CCTTCTCGAATAAATATTCAAGTTGCTTTGTCCGTACCGGTAAAAATTATCAACGGCACATGCATTTTCCATATCACTGTAACAAATTATCTATTTTTTTGGCACTGGAAATGCACCAGCAGCAAGCAAGTCACCTTAGTTGGATATGCTATAACATCAGAAAGTAAGTCATTGGCAACGGCGCTGGCAAAGGATGGGAGCAAATCAGCTGAAGCACTCCGTTTACCAACCTCCTCGCCCCGTTCCCCTGTGGCGGAATTCCGTTTTATGCAGGCCAGCAACGCTAATAGTGTTATGAGCAGTTATGCAACGGGCTCAAAACGCAAGAGGAAGGCAAAAAGAAACAGAAATGCACAAAAAAAAAGCTTTTTTTGCCAAATTCATGGAAAAGAGAGAAAGGAGGGCCCTATTGCGGAATTCTCTTTTATGCAGACCAGCAATACGAATAGTGGCATGAGCGGCTATGCAACGAACCCAAACGTGAGAGGAAACCAAATAAAAAACAGGAATGAGTGAAAAAAACAGCCTTTTTTGTCGGATTTATGGAGAATTGAAAAAAGAGGGGGAGGGGCGAGAGGTTACAAGTCGAGGAACAAAAAAAAGAGATCCGTTTTCGCCACTGAGGAGGTACGTACACCAAAGCCAGTGCTGTTAAAAAACATTTTCCATCATAAAAAAAGAAAGAAATTTCTGGAATGTCACATACTTTAGAGGTGCAAAACTGGTGAATTTTGTTGCGATGTTGGAATGAGTTCGATATTCACTCGGACTGCCTCGTGCACCGTGTTCCGTACTGGTAAATGTGCAACCATTTCGTTGAAAAACACTGCACCGCTACCGGAAGAGGGCGCATTGAGCGGGGGTGCTGCCTGCTCCCGCATCAAAAATGTTTGCACCGTATATGGTTTTGAGGTAGCCGATGGAAGTCCGTATCCTTCTGGTACAGCATCCGAATCAGGACTAGTTGAACCGGTCTGAAAGTTTTTTTTTTGCAGCGTTTTCACTGCCAGTGAATTGTATTAATTTTAAAAGTAATACCCTTCGCTGATTGGGCCGCTGTTCCGCCCCCCTCTTGTTTTCTTCACAGGGCCTTTTAGGCCCGTACTGCTTTTTGTTTTGTTTTTAAAAGTGTTTTAATTCCTAATGAATATTTCTGAAATTTACTCTGCTGAATTTTCACTATCAATGAATTAATAATATTAACTAACCAAAATTATGGTTTTAGCCAAGTTGCAGTTTTAACGAAGCTCCTAATCAAGATTATTTCCCAAAAAAAAGAAAAAAAAAATTAAATTTCAAAAACGAAAAAAAAGCGCCACGGAAACAAAAATTTCGTCTTATTCTGGACAACTGACTGTTGCAGTCATCAAATTTTAAAGTCGTTAGAGGTGCTCGTAGAATATTATGCAAGGAGTCACTGATCGTAAGATGAACCTGTGCAACCGCAGTGAGCACAAACCAGAATTTTTCATTTTGAAAAACTAAAAAACTATTTTTTGCAATTTTTAGAGAGTAATGCTCTCTAAAGGTCAAAAAATTAGTGTAAATCTACTACGGTATCTTTTTCCAAAATAAAAAAAAAACACAAAACTTGAGAAATGAGTGAGTAGATGCGGCTTAATTGCGTAAAAAAGCAAAGCAGTGAAGCATTTTTTGAGAGAACAAGCATCTCTATCGTTGCTAATAAACGATGCGATGACTAGCAAAGGAAAGCAATTTTAATGCCAACGTAGCCACACTGAAAAATGCCAACTGGCTTGTTACCGCACGGACCACTTAGATGAATTCAGCCCTCAAGTTTCCAGCGGTACAAAAAATGTTTTACAAAAAATTGTTCTACAGTACCGCGCTGATAAGCAAGCCACCCTCCTCTCGCGGTTGCTACGAATATCTTCTAACATTTATAAACAAATGCAGAAAAACAGCCGGTAGATGACATAGGCGGATCCAGGACGTGCTCTAGGGAGGCGGAGGAAGGAGGGGAGGG